CGTCAGCCCTTCTTAGCTTATGCCGTCTATTAAATGCACGTCAGCCCTTCTTAGCTTATGCCGTCTTCACTGCTTTTCTCTTCAGCTCTGTCCCGCCTACTGTTAATTTTACCCAGGGGTTACTGTTGTTTTTTCATTTCTAGGACTTCATTTTGGTTATTTTTCAGATTTTTTAATGTAATATTCTATAGTGCCAAGTTCTCTGCTGAACTTCTGTCTTCTATTTTATCACCTCGATTATAGTTTAAAAGTCTATATCTGATATTAATAGTTAGAGCTTCTCTGACTATTTTCACTGTTTTTGGTTGTTTTTTGTTTTAGTTGTCTGTCTGATCTTTTGTCTTGGTTTCTTTCATTTAATGTGAGTCCTTGAATCTGAATAATTACAGAATTTATTGAGGCCTAAGTCGACATTTTTTTTGTCCTACAAGTTATTCCTCACACACCTTTGGCTTTGCTAGACAATTCAAGCACTAGTAATGTAGTATAACACTCATATTAACCCACTTCCAGGGGTTTTTCTGAGCTAGATAACGACTCAAAGTTATGCTACAGTGTGTTCAAGGATTTATTCGCTTCCAGAATCCCACTACTAGGGGGCATCCTTTGGTAATTTCAACAGAAAGTTTGGGGGATTTACCAGGGCTCTCGGCTCTGTAAACGTGCTGCTCAGTTTACTAAATGCTCTTCAAGATCAGCAAACACCCGAAAAGCAACTCGTTGTTGAGCACTTAATCAGGTGTTCCCCTCAGGGCCTCCTGTGTAGTACGGAGTATGCACCCAACTGTTCCTCTCCTTGTGCCCTAAGCAAGTATACACACATATTTTCCTATTTCACATGATTTATTATAATAGTAATTCTAAATAGACCATGATTAGACATTATATGCTCCACGAATAAAAAACAAAATAGAGCAGCACATCTTTTTTTTCTTCTCAATGGGATCAAGTCGATGCTGACTCATGGCAACTGAATGTGTCACAGAGTCCAACTGAGCTCCAGAGGGCTTTCTTTCTTTCTTTAAAATCATCTTGTTGGGGCTCGTTCAACTCTTAGCACAATCCACACATACATCACTGTGTCAAGCACATTTGTACATTTCTTGCCACCATCATTCTCAAAACATTTGCTTTCTACTTGAGCCCTTGATATCAACTCCTCTTTTTTCCCCTCCATTCCCCACTCCCTCACAAACCCTTGATAATTTACAAATTTTTTTTTCTTCATGTCTTACACTGTTCTATGTCTCCCTTCATCCACTTTTCTGTTGTCTGTGCCCTAGGGAGGGGGTTATATGTAGATCCTTGTGATTGGCTCCCCCTTTCTACTCTACCTTCCCCTTCCCCTCCTGGTATCTCTACTCTCATTATTGGTCCTGAGGAGTTTATCTGTCTCAGATTCCCTGTGTTTCCAGCTCTGATCTGTACCAGTGTAGATCCTCTAGTCTAGCCAGATTTGGAAAGTAGAATTGGGATCATGATAGTGGCAGGGAGGAAGCATTAAAGAACTAGAGGAAAGTTGTATGTTTCATCAGTGCTATACTGCACCCTGACTGGCTCGTCTCCTCCCCGTGACCCTTCTGGAAGGGGATGTCCAGTTGCCTACAGATGGGCTTTGGGTCTCCACTCCACACTCCCCCTCATTCATAATGATAGGATTTTTTTGTTCTTCTCTTTGATGCCTGATACCTGATTTTATCGACACCACGTGATCACACAGGCTGGTGTGCGTCTTCCATGTGGGCTTTGTTGCTACTCAGCTAGATGGCTGCTTGTTTACTTCAAGCCTTTAAGACCCTAGACGCTATATATTTTGATACCTGGGCACTATCAGCTTTCTTTCACCACATTTGCTTATACACCCGCTTTGTCTTCAGCAATCGTGTTGGGAAGGTGAGCATCATGGAATGCCAGTTTAATAGAACAAAGTGTTCTTGCATGGAGGAGTACTTGAGTGGAGGCCCAATGTCTATCTGCTACCTTAATGCTAAATCTGTAAATATATGCACATAAATCTATTTCCCCATCTTCATATATAAATATATTTACATATATACATGCATGTCTTTAGACCTCTACAAATGCCCTTCCTAAGCAAGGATATTATTGAGAGTTGTCTTTATAAATCTGCCTCATTTTTCAACCACTCTCTTGAGGCCTAGAACTTACTTTTCTACTTTTGTTTCTAATTTTTTCACACTGCTCAGCACGCCCAAGGTTTGATGCTATGTATACCAAAGGTACTCAAAATATATTTGTTGAATGATTGGTTCTCATCTTTATCGTTTACAGGCCAAGGCGCATGTCGAGCAGCAAAATTATTCGTTTAACATCTTTTACTGACATTTCTGAGTGTCTGAAGCCCCATCTGAACAGAAGATATACTTACACGGAAGAGCCTAAGGCATGTATTTAAAAATGGTTTTATTGACATAATTCACATATCGTACAATTTTCATAGTTGTGCATTCATCACCATCATCAATTTTAGGACATTGTCTTCTCGTACTCGTTGTGTACCTATCTTGGGTTTCCCATACAAAAAACATACAAAACAATTATAAAAGAAAACCCAACCACAATGAAAAATCAGAGACAAACTTCGTTCAGACAAAAATATTAAAAACTGGAACAAATATAAAATGAATCAAAAGGGAGATCAAATGATAAGGTTTCACATTTAATCTCACTCCGTCTACAGTAATCTACCCTACAATGGACTCTAGTAGCATGGCCATTCAAGCCATGGTCTGTAGTCAGAGGATTAACCTGAACCTTAATCCAGGTGAGATCCTTGCAAATGGATTTTGGGCTTTCACGGTCATTCATAGCCTTCTGCAAAACCAGGTGTTCAGAACGTAAGCTCTAATACCATTCCCTTCTCCGCTTGTGAATTTTATTCTTTACCGTCCTTGCATCACACAGGCTGGCGTGCTGACTCCTGACCTAGATGACGTCTTCTTTTTCCTATTTTGTTTGACTTCATTTTAAGTTTTTTGGCTTCTTGTTCGATGACACACCTTTAAGAGCCCAGGTGTTATTTTTCTAATAGCTGGGCAGCATCTGCTTTCTTCATTGCACGTGGCTGCAGCACCACATCTAAAGTGAGCGCTCCAGGAGGCCAAGTGTTTAGCAGGGCCTCTGGCCGGCATTGTGTGCGATGACCACCCTGATTCCTCATGAGCTCTGATCCCAGTGGATTTTCCTTGATTCACCCTAATTTTATTTTATTTACGTAACTTTTTATTTTGATTTGGGTGGAAGTTTATAGCGGGCTTTCCACTCAACAGGTCAACAGCACTCTTCCCACTGCGTCCTTGTCTTCCCGATTTCATGTCCTTCTCTCTTATCCCTTCCTGTCTTCTGAGATGCACCCCTGGGACAAGGGTGAACTTCTGATTACACAGCGTTGGTTTTGCCCAGGAGTACATACCTTGCTGGGGTTATTGTTAACCGTAGAGACAGTGAGCTGTCGGGGTGATTTCAGTTCCAGACTTGAAAGGTATCTAGGGGCTGTAGTTTGGGGGATTCCAGTCTCTATCAGACCAGTAAATGTGACATTTCTTTATTAAGCAACATAATTTAATTGTTCCTTGCGAAAGTATTTTTATGCAAAAATGTCTGTTTCCTTTTATGGTATCATATTCTTATACATTTTGTTGATTATTGCTTTTAGAAACAGCTGTTCTGATTTGGATATAGTCACACTTCACACACAAAAATGAGAGCCTCATACATTTTACTTAAATTTTTAATAATTGATAAAAATTATATTTGGTGTTATGTTTTAGAAGTTCAGAATTTTTTAAAGGTGGGGCCTGATAAGGGAACTTTAACTTACCAGTTGTAAGTGAAAAGTTCCCATTCCCAAAGGATTATATATTAGATAGGAATCTCAGCCCAAATAAGATCTGAACACTTCAGTGTACTTTGTGGGATCATTTTATTCTAAGCACACAGTTCTCCTTTTCTCTTAATTAGAATCAATCTACCTCTCATCTATTTATTTATTTTACTAAGCCCGTGATTTTTTTCCTTTGGATATACTGACAGTTAAACATCAAAAAACATTAACTTCTCATAGAATTTGTTCGGCTGGAAAGAGGCGGAGAGGGGGAGATTGAGCCCTAATTTTCCATGTCAAGATTACAAAGGAGTTTGTCTGAGTTCCACAAAACCAATAGTGAAAAATGCGTGTGAGTGGTAGACACCCTTTCGCTTTCTGAAGCCGCTTTTGTGCTCAGGAAAAGAGCCAGCATTCTGTTTGAAGAACGGTATTCAAGTTGCTGACTTTGTTGGCAGAACGGCTCTGAAAAACAGCATTTTACGAGAACATATACTACCCTTTACACTCTGTAGGCCGTGACCTGTGCGTGGTGAGGCTGTCCAAAGAGGGGCTCCTAGGGAGGGTTAATGAGCAGCACGGAGAGGCCTTGAAGATAGTTCTGTTTATAACCTTGTTGGAGCTTTAATAGCCCCACCTCAGGGCTAGCACAACAGTAAATATGTAGGAAAGAGGCCACCAACAGAGTTGGAAGGCTCCTAAAATGGTCTCATCGTGCCTGGAACATGAAAATGATTGAGATCGGAGAGTGACTTCAACATTCAGTGTGGAGTCAGATGGGCTGCTATCGTTGACTCCATTAAATGAATCTTGTATGACAGTCAGATGCAAACATACGACATTAATTACGTATACAGTACAAAATAGTCCAGTGGGAAAAAGACAGCCTGGCAGGATGCATGAAACCCTGTTGTTATACATTTCCATTAAAAAAAACACAATGTATCTGTGTGGGTAATGGACTTCTGTTTTGCCGTCTAGGCTGACATCACCTCAGATATCCAAGCCTTGGGAGGATTTGACATGGAAAATTTGTTGCAGTCTTTGTATGTGGAAAATAGAGCTGGATTCTTCTTTACTAAATTCTGTGAGCATTCAGGGAACAAGGTAGAAAATAATGATTTTTAAATCTAATTTTATAATTGTACTGCAGCGAAGAATAAAGGAGCTTGCCATTTTCTCAGTGCTCAAATCATTGTGTTTTGTGCTAAAATCCCCTTCTCTGGAAAGAATTGCCTTACTTAGAATATAAGAGGTTTTCCAAAAGTTTATGGGAAAAGATAAAAATAAAACATAATCTCTCTCTCTCTATATATATATATATGTATATATATGCTTTATTTCTCAACAAGACTTTTTTAAAGCAATGATACCAACCACTTAGTCTATTCTTAAAGAACTGAGGGCCCTGGGAATTTAACTATGTCAAAGAGCCTTTTTTTACATTGGTCGCTGAAGAAAAATGAGTTCTCTTTAAAGACTTGGTTAAGATTAGAAAACAAAAAGAAGTCAAAATGAGCCAAATCAGTACTTTAAGGTATAATTTTAAGGTCATACGCATTTTCTATGAACATTTTAAAGACCTCTCGATAGCAAAAACTTAAGCAGTCTTGATATTACTATCCTTAAAAAGTTACAAAGAAAATGCAAATGTGAATAGACAAGGATTGGTGGCTTGCATTACTAACAATATTTTCATATAACCCTATTTCAATTTACTAAGTTCCTAATTTCTATATTTAAAATTGAGAGTCACTTTCTATTAGTCCTTTACTTTGAACAATTATTAATGACCATTTCCAGGTTTTGTTTTGTTTTCGATCTAGTTTACATGTTGCTCATATGACAAGCATGTGACTGGCCCGACAATCAGCGCTGTGTGATGCACACTTGCCTGTCGATATCAAAATACTTTCTGATTTTGGTTTCATGGCAGAAATGTGTGGTGATTCTTTAACTAGGAACTAAAATGCTTACTATTTATGTGGTGAATTATGTGAGAGGCATGCATGCAACAAGTGATGTTAGAGACAACACCAATAAATATTTTGTATCATTGCCTCTTGCTAATAGACAATTAAAACCACTTTAAATAGGACCTCTTGTCTGGTCACACCGAGGAGCTAAAGAATCATGTATATTTGATATCAGAGCTTTGTGAAGCTTTAATAACTGGGTGCTAATAATTTATGTACTCTCTTCATCTGCAGTTATGGAGGAACTGTGTGTACTTCTGGTTTGACCTACAGGCTTATCATCAGCTTTTCTACCAAGAAACACTGCAGCCTTTCAAAGTGTGCAAGCAAGCCCAAGTAAGTAGTAAAGAGTGCTCTCAGGCTGGTCCAGCAGGCTCCTATAAAGCTCTAATATAATAGGCATTATGGGGATTTAATTACAGATTTCATGGTGGCAGGGGAGGGGCCTGTCTGAATATATGAGGGGACTTTAAAATTTTTGTGGAGAAATTCCATTATATTTTATTTCTGTTGTGTTTTTTACCCCCCAGAATCTTTTTAAAGTCCTTTGTAGTGTGGTGTTCACACAACATCCAAATCATGCAACTTTCTATTTCATAGACTATATTATTATGGCCGTTAAGTGATGCATAGCTGTCCTTGGGCTGTTGACCTGTCTGAAAGCCAGGGAAGAATGTTGACCGAATGTAATGTTGACCATTACAAGGTAATGGGCCTTGTAAGTCTCCCGGACTTCTGTGCTGCAGATAGAAAGTAAACACCGTGTCAAGAGCACCCCAGAGCACAATAGAGGAGGGAGAATACCTATCTCTATTTGAGGAAGAACAGAGAAAACTCTGCAAAGGGAGGCAGAGAGTAGCCTCCTTTGTGTGTGTGTGTGTGTGTGTGTGTGTGTGTGTGTGTGTGTGTGTGTGTGTTGAAGACAAGAAAATTAGAATTATGACTAGGGCAGACTTATCTGTTCAGCATTTTTGTTCTCTAAGTTCCTCTCGTCTTTTGGATAAGAGAGAGGTCTTGGAACCTAGAAACCGTTTTGCTTTTTAATGACTTTCTAAAAAAATGACCTTTTCTATGCAGAAGCATAGAAAACTCTTGCTACCGCATCTACCTGTGGGCCACGTAAGTGGCTCTCTGTCAGGAGGAGAGAGCGCTGCTGCGTGTTTGTTGTTACTTGCACGGCCCGGATTCTGGCATGCATAACTAGGCTTTGTAAATCAGCCTACAAAGTTTTGTACTTTTTAATGTGAAATAAGTGCCTCAACTCCTCCACGGCCCAGATCTGGCTCCATGAAATCAAGAAATCACATCTCTCACTTGTCTCTGAGACCACACAGTTGGGATGTCCTGGTTGTTAATCCTTTATGTGTAATTCGCTACTTCTCCCGGCTAACCTCTTGCCCCTGTTTGCAAAAGACCCACCCTTTCTTTTTATGATGTTTTCATTATTACAAAGAGTACTTCTTTGAAATCGCAGCTGTTCCACTCACTATTCCTTGTCTCAATATAATAGCCCTACTTCTCTGAACTTGTTCGAGAGGCAATCACATTTCTGTTTGGAAAATTTATTAATTTTCACTAATGATGTTCAATCAGCTATAAGTGATTATACAGTGGTATACAGTCAACTTTTGATTATTCTGAGATGGGTTATTATGTTTGAGAATTATCTAGGTCTGTACATTTTGGGGGCTACATTGTTTTGGGGTGTCAAACCAAGGTAGGCAGGAAGGTCAATGGAGACATATGCTTGTAGGTGAAAGGGAGAAATAAAGAAGTATAAATACATGTGATTCAATTGATGAGTTTTCATTTTGCTTCTGTTTTTTTTTTTTTAATTTTTGCTTTGATTTTGTTTAGGGGATCAATTGTCTAAATAGGTTTAAATTTTTAAAAATCATTTTATTGAGGGCTCATACAACTCTTATCACAATCCATCCATCCATCCATTGTGTCAAGCACATTTGTCCATTTGTTGCCATCATCATTCTCCAAACATTTGCTTTCTACTTGAGCCCTTGGTATCAACCCCTCATTTTCCCCTCCCTGCCCGCTCGTGCCTCCCTCATGAACCCTTGATAATTTATAAATTATTATTTTGTCATGTCTTGCCCTGTCCGACATCTCCCTTCACCCACTTTTCTGTCGTCCATCCCCCAGGGAGGGGGTCACATGTAGATCCTTGTCATCAGTCCCCCCTTTCTACCGCCATTCCATTTTTTATGATAGAAATTTTGTGTTCCTCCCATCAAAGGCACGTTTACGGTGAAGTTCTTTGTGTGGATTATGCACATTGCTGTTGTCAGGTGCCATCGAGTGGTCCCCGTCTGCTGTGACTCCGTCTGCAGCCGAAGGAAACACCACCCAGCCCCGCGGCCCCTCGCTTTGTTCTTGTGGTAGAGCCCTGGTTGCAGCCGCAGTCCATCGTCTCGTCCAGGGCCTTCCTCCCTTTCACGGCTCCTCTGCTCTACCAGTCCTGCAAGGACTGCTCCGTCCTTAAAACAGGCTCAAAGTATGTTCAGGGAAGTCTTGCCACCCTTATTTCTTTTTTAAAATCATTTTATTGGGGGCTTGTACAACTCTTATCACCATCCATCCATCCATCCACTGTGTCAGGCACATTTGTCCATTCATTGCCCTCATCGTTCTCAAAACATTTGCTTTCCACCTGAGCCCTTGGTATCAGCTTCTCATGTTTTAAACCTTTGGTTCTTCTTCTTTTTAAAAAATCATTTTATTAGGGGCTCACACAACTCTTACCACAGTCCATACATACATTAATTGTGTAAAGCACGTTTGTACATTCATTGCCCTCATCATTCTCAAAACATTTGCTCTCCACTTAAGCCCCTGGCATCAGCTCCTCATTTTCCCCCCTCCCTCCCTGCTTACCCCTCCCTCATGAACCCTTGATAATTTATAAATTATTATTTTGTCATATCTTGCCCTGTCTGATGTCTCCCTTCACCCACTTTTCTGTTGTCCGTCCCCCAGGGAGGAGGTTATATGTAGATCCTTGTCATCGGTTCCCCCTGCCATCCTTATTTCTAAGGAGCACTTTGGCTTTACTTCTTCCAAGACAGATTTATTTGTTCTTTTGGCAGTCCATGGTACTTTTTTTTTTTTTTTAAACATTTTATTAGGGGCTCATACAACTGTCATCCCAATCCATACACACATCAACTGTGTAAAGCTTATTTGCATGGTACTTTTAATAGTCTTTGTTAACACCATGATTCAAATGCATCGCCTTTTTCAATATTTCAGTCCCAGGCTTGACTTTCTTCTTGAGTTCTTTCAGCTTAACAAACGCGCTGCGTGTGCTCACCCTTTTTAGTTCTCTAACTCGAGGGCTTTGCGCATGTCATTATAATCTTTTATTCTGTATTCTCAAGCCGCCCTCTGAAACCTTCTGTTCAGCTCTTTGACTTCATTCCTTCCATTTGCCTTGGATACTACAATTAAGAGCAAATTTCAGTCTCTTCTAATATCCACTTTGGTAATTTCTTTCTTTCCTGTCTTTTTAGTGACCTCTTGCTTTCTTCATGAATGACAGTCTTGATGTCCTCCCACAGCTCGTCAGTGTTCTCTCATTAGTGTCAAAGGCATCAAATCTGATCTTGAGATGTTCTCAGAATTCAGGTGGGATCGCCTCAGAGTTATATTTTCATTCTCCGCAACTTGTTTGAATCTTCTTCAGTTTCAGCTTTAACTTACATAAGAGAAATTGATGGTCTGTTCCACAACCAGACCCTGGCTGATAAAAATTTAGCTGATAAACGTAAATATGCTCTTCTCCATAGTCTCTTCCCACAGATGTAGTTAATTTGATTTCTGTGTATTCTGGAGATGTCGCCATTTGTATTCTTGAAAAAAAAGTATTTGTGTTGAAGAAGTTGTTGGTCTTGCAGATCACAGAATATAATCCGCGATGCTGTGTTAAACTTGCTAGAAACTTGATTTTACATTGTTTTCAGATCTCTGCCAATCTCTGTGCTTGGAGACCGAGTTGGTTTCCAGAGACTTGCAGACTTTTCTCATTCTAACCAGTGACTGACTTACCCACAAATAATAAGTCATGCAATCAAAGCTTTCTTGTGCCATGAAATATCATAGAAATATGCAGATTGGATGGGAGTGTGGGTTCAGGGACAGTGATTTAATATGATGAATTCTAGTCCAAGGGTTTGAACGACAGTCGGGCATGCCTGGAAGATCTCATCACTTGGCTTCAAGATTGAATAGTGCCCAATAGAAGCCAGCTGGAATGATCTAGTACAAGAGGAAAAGCCATCAAATGCAGAATTAAAATCTTTGACCCTTGCCACAATTTTCCAGCAGAATCATACTGATACTACGATTTGGAGTCGAGATTGCTGCCACAAATAATCCCACAGCTTTTTCGATGTTGCATACTTGCTTTAGTGAGCTGAAGTAGACTGACACTGGCCATGTTGAATCAGAAAATCATATGGATTACTATGCCAGGAATGAAACAAACCAGAGGAAGCGTTTTGTTCATTGTCAAAAAGGACATTTCAAGATCTATCTTGGAGTATAGTGCTGTCTGATAGTATTTAATCTATTCCTCATCAAGAATTCCAATCAATACAACTACTATTCACATTTATGCACCAAACACCAAAGCTATGATGAAGAACTTGAAGAATCCTACCAACGACTCCACTCTAAAATTGATCAAACATTTGATCAAGACGCATTGATCATTATTGGCGATTGGAATGCAAAAGTTGGAAACAAAGAGGAAGGAACAGTAGTTGGAAAATATGGACTTGGTGATAGAAATGAAGTTCGAGATCACATGATAAAATGTAGCAAAACCAATGACTTGTTCATAGCAAATACTTTTTTTTCAACAACACAGAGTGGCTATACACATGGACTTCCCTAGATGGATACCCAGAAATCCATGAACTGCATATGTGGGAACAGAATATGGAGGAAAATAATTCAAGCCTTGAATTGCAATATCGAAAGATTCTATGGGCAAAATATTGAATGCTGTAGGACGCATCAAAAGATGATGGAAAGAGTACTCAATCACTATACCAAACAGAACTAGTGGACATTGCCCCATTTCAGGAGGCGGCATGTGATCAAGAACCAGTGGCGCTGAAGGAGGAAGTTCAAGCTTCACTAAAAGCATTAACCAAAAGCAAAGCTCCAGGAATTGATGAAATATCAATTGAAATGTTTCAACAAGCTGATGCAGCACTGGAAGCCCTCACTCATCTATGCCAGGACATTTGGAAGACAGCAACTTGGCCAAATGACTGGACCAGATCCATATTTGTACCCATTCCAAAGAAATGTGACCC